CTTCTCCTTCTAGCTGGAACATAGCTAACCTTATCTTCGTGACATCGGAGGTGATCTTCGTTGCCTCCAAAATCTTGTCCATATTTGCCAAAACCAATGGTCGGTTACCATCGGATCCGCCCTTCCCTTAAAAATTGGAGGCTTGTGTGCCTTAAACCTTTGGAGGTTACTTGAGCCTGCTTGACCAACACTTGCACTAGCCTGTGCAATCGTAGTAACCGCAGTACCAATAGCCTTCATGAAGGCTTGTTGGTCAAAGGCTGGTGGTGGTTGATTATTGTTCTGCCCACCGCCTCAGCGTCCTCTTCCTCTATTTGCCATCTACACACATGTCAAACAACAATAGAGTGCCAATTTAGTATTCCAAAGTAAGGACCAAATTTAAAATCTTGAGATTCATTTCCTCGTCTCCCTAGTAGAACTTATGTCACCCACTAGTAAACATTTACATTTTGAACTATTCCGTTCCTTTGTTTTCCGACCCCTAAGGTTATATTTTCTAACCCTAGTGTCTCTTTTTCATATACATTTTACCATGTATATCCTTCACATAACATATAACACATAATATGTAGCATATTAAACACATAACATGTGATGCATAATGAATGCAATGGTCTAAACTCATGCCCCATGAAGCCCTCAGTAAATTGTATACCTAGACTTTGATACCAAGTTGTGACGTCCCTAAAATCGGGGATCCTTTTTCAACCATTGACCACCCATCAACCCGTGAAAGTACCTGTAATTGTCGCACAACCTCGACATCACGTCAACAGCATCCCCTTAACTAGGATCGTCATCCACACGTGTAATTCATGTACATTATACCATTTGACCAACCAAGATCCAATACACCACTATTTATCCTCATTTTATGCCCATTTATATCCTTGAAACTAAAGAAACCAAAGTCCAAAAGTATGGTTAAACAGTTTTTAAAATTTCAGATTTTTGGAGGACATACCGGTAGGTTGTGCCCACGGAAAAAGTCCTACCGATAGATTTTGCTTGATATACGAAATTCTGCCTGTACAAGATCCTATCGGTAGGTGTTGTCCACTTGACAGCGATCTATCGGTAGGTTTTGCCCAGATTTGTCTGTTTCATCTATTTTTCATTTTCAATTCATTTCAAAACACATTATTTTCATCCAACCTATGTATAATGAAGATTTTTCATATTATACAAGGTCTATACCAGCTCTATTACATTCAATTCCATGAATTTACATATCAAAGACAAAGTTTTGATAATCATTTACAAAAATTCAAAATAAAGTCACATCTCGGCTTTTTCATCTTTAAGGTCCCATGTGAGGGCCTTCCTCCAGCGTGTATCCCGCACCTGAAATATTTTTCTGTATAGGGTGAGCCACGCCCAGTAGAGTATTTCCTACAAAGGCTACTCTCCAACCTAAATGCATATGAAATGCTCACATGTAACATTTAAAATCAACAACCATTCCAATCAAGGTTAAACAAGTCTATATTGGAATTTAACATGTCGTGCCATGATATGCGATGACACCTACTCATGCGCCTTAAACCTGAGTCCTCCTTGGCTCCTTTCACCCATGCAATGTTATGAGTATAAAATTGAGTTTTTTAAGCCCCTGCCATTGGCGTTACACACCCAATAACTATTTTAAATAAATCTCCAGGTCTTTCTTGGGGTGGGTATTTATGGACTTACACCAACGGCACCCAACCGACACGGAATTTATAGACTTTCACCAACGGTTTCGTGTACACTGACACACTTTATGGGCTCTTATACCAACGAAGTGCGTATCTGATTACCGGGTCTCTCACCCGAGGGATAGTCTAGCCTTTCTTGCTAACGCCAACCTAATTCTTTTTCCCATGTAACGTGCGACTCAGTCGGATCTTTGATCCAATTTTCCCGAGCCACCCATCATCTACCTATGTGGTGTATGATGTCAACCATGCACACTCACACCCACACTCATGTCCATAGATGCGGTTCTTTCGTGCAAATACAATGTAATGCACCATTGCTATATCAATGTCATGCCCATATGTAATGAATGCCACATGAGCAAGTTTAACCACATATTTACATATTTCATGACCAATTATATCATATGCATATAATCACAAAACTTTATCACAATATTATTATATTAATAAATATATATCAACATTTTATTTTCAACAACATATTCCAAGCATATTATCACATAATATATGTCAATAACACATTTCATTCACAAAAGGCATAATATAAATACATAGCATGACCACATAATACCAAATTTTATGGAATCACACAAGTAATTTCCACATTTTAATTCCAAGGTAGGAAGTTTATTTCAAGCCATTTCAATACCCATTTTTAATACCCATTTCATCAATTTCACAACCATAGGTATGTTTTAAGTCCCTAACAACCTACTCATCTCATATAACACTCTAGGTTAAAAAATAAACCAAAGTAGGAAGGAACCCTACCTCTTAAAGCGTGAAATCAACGTAGAAAGCCTTCAAGAACACCAATGGAACCCTAGCCTTGATTTCTCCCAAATCTCCTTTTTGGAGGTTCAGTAAAATCTTCGATTTTTGGTGTAGTCGCATAGTCCTCGACGCGTAGAATAATCTTTGTTCTTGGTTTGAGTTGATTTGAGCACTCGATCTCCGTAGATCGTAGAGAGAAGAGAAGAACCCAAGTTTTTTCCCTTTCTTCTCTCTCCATTGGGTGAACGGTTGAACAAATGGGGAGAAATCTGATATTTCTCCCCTTTTTATACTCCCAAAACACTTGGTCCACAATACACCACACGACCTTTTTTTTTCGGGTCCGTTTTTGTCTCGAAACGATTAAGTTTCATCCTGGTTTAAGTTCAAAATATTTTTATTTTAACTTGTCTCAAATTATTTTTTAAATTTCAAAATTTTATTAAAAATTTTATTTTTGGGTCATCCGAGATTCGACCACCTCGTAAAATACAAAAAATTCGACTATCTCGGAATTCAATGAAATTTGACAGGGTAGTTAGATTTCGCAAGATGAATCCAATGGTGAGGTCCATTTTATTTTTTGAGTTCTAGAAAAATTCAAGTTTTTAACCCGTACTGTAACGATAAATTACCATTTTACCCCTTTTGTGACAAGTTCAAATTTACCCAGGTTTTACAGCGAGTCCCCGAGGATGAAAAGGTGCCATGGAAAGCAAGAAAAACTCCTACTCGCCCAAGTGAAGACGAAGCACGTGCCCTCAATCCTTTCCTCCCACTGAAGGTCAGAGGTTTAGGGCATGTGGGACAAATGATGAACCCGAATTTGACTAGGTCAAACCCAATTTTAATAAACCAAGAAAGTCCAAAAAAGAGCCCAATCGGAACTGAATCAACCCATCAGGATGGAATCCAGAAAGAAATCAAGAAGCCAACACCCAAAACATGAAGGAGCCAACGTCCAAAGCAATTGGGGCACTGCCCCAAGGGTCACCCAAGCCAAGCACTGCCCAAGGCCTGGGCACCGCCCAGGGCTAGCCCTCTGATCCTCTTTTGCCCTCTTGACTTTTGTTACTCCAATTCAAGTACAACCCACTCCAACTCAAGTGCAGGCTTAGGCTCAAATCCAACCTAGCTTAAAGTCCTCCTCCGACTGAATAAAAACACGAGGGAGAGAATATCGGGATATGCATGGAGATCAAATTCTACCATAATTGTAGTTACTAAATTGTAGTAACCGCCTCACTGCCTTACTCAACCTATATAATATAAGCCCTCTCCAAATAAAGGATATCGCCTAAAAAAAAAAAACCTTTAGACACCTCTCTACACACATAGTCTCTCTCTCTCTCTCTCTCCCAAGCATTGTAATACACCTGAAGTTACTCTCTCGTTTACATTATTTATCAATAAAGATTTTCAACCACCGCTGTCGTTTTCAAAAGTGGAGTAAGTCATCCAGACCGAACCACTATAAATTTTGGTGTTGATTCCTTATTTATTGCTTTATCATTAATTGTCTATTTATTGCTCATTGAATGCACCCGTTCATATACTTGACTGTTGATTTTGGGCAATATTGATTTGTGCATCATCAGAGGTCATAGGGAAGAGAACCCACATATAATGTATAACTTCATTTGTAGATAAATCTATTGGCAATGATAGACAATATATTAATAACAATATGTCCTTGCTTGACGATTGTTTGCTCATATTAGTCTAATACACTCCTCATGAAATGATTTTCTATTGAATTGGTTGATCTGCAAATCATAAGGACGCCATCATTAGCCTAGAAAAAAGAAGCAAAAGTAGTTGGGTGAGAGGATGCAAAAAAATTGGGTTTGATTAGTGTTGTTAAATTACATACATTGGAGCATAGATTTAGAAGTATAATTTGATTTGACTCTTTGTTTGGATAATATGAATATGGTGTTGTTCAGATGATGTAAGAGTTTTTAGGGTAGAGTAAGTCTCGATGCGTGTATTAAGATGCTTACTTCATTACTATAATGGTGTTGCAGTGGTTGGGAAATGGTTGTATGAGGAAATATACTTTTGTGATGGTAGTCCAATAAATTTGAGTATATAAAATTATATATACAAGTTGAGAATTTCTATCGAATTTTTTTAAAAAATAGTGGGGGCAGATTAATTGACAATTTTATTAATTAATGATTTATTATATTACGTAGTGCCTTTAACCACGGACATTAGTTAGTATATATATATGAGAGAGAACGTTTATATATATATAAAGACTTAAGTACTTAATATTTTTTTCTGTATACTTTTTGACAATTAAGTCTAATATGGTATACCATTTCTAATTTCTCCAAACCCAATAATCAAAGTTAAGCCTTAACTATAAGGCCTAGACTAAGAATTAAACTGGGACTATGGTCCAAGGCTTCACAACATCACGAGGTCCATGGCCCAGTCCAATCTCAATTTTTCGTAAGCAGGCATGCCAGTGCTCGTCTCTTCTTCGATCTTCTGTGACCAGACCCAACTCTCCTTCGATTCGGCAACAGCGGTACCACTCTCTCTCTCTCTCTCTCTCTCTCCTTCGATTTCCTTTGCTGTAGAGGGAACATTCTCTTTCTCTTTCAGTGGGAATGAAATCAATCAATGAAGAGAGAGAACTTTGAAGAGGAAGAAGAAGTAGAGAGATGGGAGTTCTTTTCCATCTTTTGGGTTGAAATTCGATTATCAAGGGCAGCAACTCTTGATGAATAACTTTATCCACGATTCTATATATATATATATATATATATATATATATATATCTGTTGATCATCTGCGAAGTAGGGTTTTGTTGGGGTTAATTGTTCTTGTTTGCCCATTTCAGAGTCGATCTAATTTCTTTTGGCAGGTGCAGAAACTGAATCAGAACGTCGTCGTATTACGGAGGCTGCATTTACACAACCATAGAGAGAGAGCCATGTCGTTTATGAGAGGTGATTTGCTTACGAGAACGAGAAAGCTCGTGAAGGGTTTAGCAAAGTCCGAGCCTGTTTGGCTCAAAGCTATGGAACAGTATGTATCAATTATTATTATTATTTTTGAATATTTTCAGTTCTTTCCCCCAATTACATGAATGTTTTATTTACCCTCGACTTACCCAATTGTCCATTCCTAGTTCTAATGTCCGAAATTAATTTTAGAATTTTGAGATTTTTTTTTAATTTTTTTTTTATGGTAGGTATGATAGTTTTGGTGAATTTCTTGCCTACAACGCTTTGATTGTTTAATTCAGGGCTCCACCGGTGTCATTTCCTCGTGCGGAGAACAAAATTAAGCCAATTAGTCTTCCTGAGGATGTTTATATAAAGAAGTTCTTTCAGAAGCATCCGGATTCTAAGCATGAAGATGCTATCAAGTACTTTCCTACATACATTTCTCTATCAAGTACTTTCCTACATACATTTCTCTGTGAAGCATTCCATATTTGTCTCTTATCTAGTTTATTGGACCAAGCTTGTGGAAGATGTCATATTTACTTGAATTTTGTTTTACTGATGGGATTTTCTGTGGAAGAAGAGTTTTGAATGCATTTTGCAATATTTGCTTGGATTTTTGTTGTCAACTATATATGATTTGTAATAGTGCACTATAAATGTTTAGGTAGATATATGTGTGGGTGAAGTTCGGTGTCCCTTACTTACAAGCTCAGTTTTATTTTGCTGTTTGAGGGAAATGAAGATAATGCATTCATGAAACATAAATACCATGGTATCACATAACTTGTGCCTTTGCCTGATGGGAAAGGTGGGTGTAATTAGGAATGGTGGTAGGTTCGAATATGATGATGGGGAGTGGACTAAGGACTACAATTCTCATCATCAACTGGGAAGAATAGGAGAAAAACTAGCGATACAAATTTTATTTGAGAAGTCTGTGAAAACCAGTTTCTAATTCACTTCTTCATGATTTGAAGTGGTACTGCTTATTATGGTAAGTTGAACTTGTGTATCCTGAGCATATGTATTATCCAATGAGCAATGCTATTGGGACCTAATTTACTGACATAATTTGCTGACCTAATTCACTATGACATTTGGATTGATTGTGAATTCCATTAAATATTGAAACTTGGTGTTTAATCCAATGGTTCCAATGAAATCACGTCATTAGGTCAGCAAATTATTTCAAATTTTTAGGTCCAAATAGCTTTTTCCTTATCCAATTACTGATATATGGGTTTGAATGGGGAACTTTTCATATACTTTACTTTGAGTCAGATTAGTCAACGAGGAACTATCGTTGATCTACAAACACCTATGCAGCTGCTTAGATAGAGAGATCTGAAGATTGAGATTCAGTTGACTTGTGGCTATCTTCTTTACTTTTTCATTGAAAATGAAAGACATGTGAAATGAGAAAGATTCTAAAAAGCAGTATGAAATTCCCTGTAACATAGGAGCATGGGAGGTGAGGAAGTGGCTCAGTGGTAAGGGCTCACTCTCACTCGCAGGTGGTTGCGAGTTCCAACCTCATCCCCTCTCTTTCCCCCCATCTTCCAACATAAAAAATATAGGTGCATTGCAAATATAACTAAAGATAGCATTACAACCCCAATAAATATAATCGTCTTAGTCTTGGATGTCTTTCATTTTTATTGCTCTTTTGTGTCAATGATTGCCAAGATTTGTGTCCACTATATGAAGAGTAACTTGTCAGTGTCCCTGAAAATCTCTCCCCCCCTCCCCCACCAAAAAAAACCACGTACGCTTGTGTGTAGATGGTGCGGAATACCATACTTGACATTATGTGGGTGTTATGTGGGCTTTTTTTTTAGTGATAGTTATTTTGAATGGTGAAAGTTGCATGACTTTTCAAACAGATTTATAGATGATAAATTGATGTAAATCTGTAGCGTTAATGCCTCGATATCTTTAAAACAAGTTAGCATTGAAGCTGTTGAGTTGAGACTCTGCTTGTGTAATAGGTGCTTTATGGTTGAGAATTAAGATTGTCTTGCGATCCTTGTGGCAATATATCAATTTTGAATTTGAAGTAAAGTTCTAATCTGTCATTAGATTCACTTTGCTAATGTTCCAACAGGATTTCCGGATTTGATCCCCCTCCAGCCCGTATGTTTGGTTGGCGAGTGCTGGAGTTAAAGGAGCAGGGAGTGAGTGAGGAGGCGGCTATGGCTGTTGCTGATGTATTTGTTTCATTTCTGATTCACTCATCTCTGCAACACAGCTTTTTAATTGTTTCTTATGACCATATTTTTTTTTCTACTACTTCCATAGATGGAGTATTGGGCTGAGAGAAAAGCCAAAAAGAAGGCATATGTTCGGTTGAAGCAAATTGCACGGCTTCAAGGAAAGAAACCCCCTCCAAATCCATATCCTAGTGCCATCAAAGAGATACAGGCTGAAGAGAGGAAGTTTGTTCGTGATCGTTTCTACGATCCCAAGATACTCAAAATTGTACAGAAGATGAAAGAAGAGAAGGCAGCTGAGATACAAGATAGAATGAGGGGTGGTTCCTGGTAAAATGGCTTGCCATTTTGAACCTAGTGTCATTTTTGCTCTTTGAACTCAAATTTCTAGTAATGGTTTTAGTCAATTGACCATTGGATATCTTCAACATGGATTTTTTTTTGAGGAAATTTTCAATGCAAGGCTCAGATCAGGTGACTAGAAATGAAGTATATGCCAACTATTCTGAATAAATCATGTTTACTAGTTTTACTGATTTAGACTCGAGTATATTTTTTGTTTTTCTTTTGTACTAAATTGTGTTTTCATATACCCCTCGTTCTTAGGTAATGTCTAGAATTATATTTGAAATAGTATCTTGGTCTAATGATAAATTGGAGACATTGTGGAGCAGAGAAAGGGTTAAACCCCATCACATCATTTATCAAGCGGAAGATTGTACTTTTTTGGAAATGCTTTTGAAGTTTGGCAGGTAACTTTGATGTTGCAAAGCTGCCCGATACTACATAGTAGTATCGTCGGAGAACAGTTGGGTGATTTTTTCCCCAGCTACAGAGACTTTTTGACAACTGCTTCCTTCTGAAATGGAACCCTGGAGTCAAGATACAGGTGAAGCTGCTTTAGTAACTGTCATTGCCACAATGTTAGAACATGTCTCTTGGTGTATGCATTGTCCTGATTTCATTGTTCTAATCATGTCTCGTAATTATGTAGCATTGTATCTTCGTTGTGTGGAAAGAATGTCTGTTCGAAAAAAAAGCAGAAAGAAAGATCCGATCACCCCATCTACTGTGATCGATAAAAGCTGCTCCCAAGCAATTTGACAGTTTAATTTCTGCGTTGGTGGATTCTCTGAATGCTTACTCGAAGGATGAGAAACCTTGTGACTTCTTACCAATTAGATTGTTCAACGTTTTAAAGACATGCTAGTAAGAATTATGCATGTTCTGTTTCATATGAATCATTTTTCGGGTCAAATCTATCTGCTGATGAGTGCATATGAATGTTAGAAGACGGCATTGTTATTCAGAGGACTTATAATGAGGACGTTAATAAGAAGGTCCATCGAGGATCGACCCTCCATTACTCATGTTAAAGCAAAAGACAAAATTGTACTCTTGAGGCTCTTTTCCACACCATTCTCTTACAATAAAGATGATCAGTGTTTTAAAACCCGGCCGGCCCGACGGGTTGACCCGATGAATCGGTCCCTTAACCGGGCCGGTTTTGTAATTGGATCGTTTGAGTAAAGAACCTGGAATAAAACCGGTGAACCGGTCAAAAAATCGGTAACCCGTGAAAACTCGACGGATTTACAAAACCGGCCGGTTTTGTTCTTTTAGTATAAATATGTCTTTTTTTACATTTTTGTGTCTTTTTCTTATTTTTGTCTTTTTCTTTTCCATTTTTGTGTCTTTTATAAATATGTCTTGTCTTTTTTACATTTTTTTTTACACTTATGAATATTTGTATTGGTTTGTTAATTGAATACAATTAAGTGATTCAGGCTTGATAACTTTGTTTGATTTAATATATATTAAACATGTTATTTTTATAATTATTTTAATTTTTTAGTCTATTTATCATCATTAATAATTATTTTTTATTTTTTTATTATATCACCGGTTCGACTAGTGACCCAATGGTTGAACTAGAAACCCATTGACCCTGTCCCTTCTCCGGGTTGATGTCCGAGCCGAATTTTAAAACTACGAAGATAATCACACGCTTGACTAGCAATCGCTCGTGAGTATTTTTTTTATTAGCATGAGATTGGATGTTAATAATCACACCCATTGACACGTTGACTATCGTACTTAAATACCCTTGGCATTTTCTTAGAATTACACATGTGTTGAGACCACTATTATTGATGTTACTGTGATATTATTGTCTATTTGTGATCTATTAAGATTGTGAATTGAAATTGTAGATTTTTAATTGAGATTGTAGGATTGTGAATTGGACATATTTTATATTTTTTAGCTAAACTATTATGATTTATAATTATTATATATATATATTTTATTTTTTTATTAAATGACCGATTTAATTAATGACTCACCGGTTAAATCAGTGAATCATTGATCCAGTCCCTTAACCGGTTCAATGACTGGTCCGATTCTGATAACATTGTCTGCTACTAATCTCTCACATGTATGTAGTCTCTAGTCCTCTTCTACTTTTTATTCTTTTTTCACTCAACCACTGACACACACAAAGATGCACATACACAAATGCTTGCGCACGCGAGTGCACACACACTACACTTGGATTTGATTTCAATCAGATCCAAGATAGAGAAAAACGTTGAGCATATTTAAGTGTGGTTTGAGTAGATTTGATAGTACGTAAGGTGGCCGTGAAGGCAAGTGTTGTGGTCCAAAGGGGTCGGTTTCAAGAGTTGTGGCTTTGAATGCTATATTGGTGATGATACAAGGGGCTTTGAGGTGGCAAACAATGGTTGAATTGGTTGTGTGTATAGATTGGGATTGGGGGTGCGGGTCATTGATGAATAGTGGTTGTGAAAAGGGAGGGAAGGAGGGAGGGAGGAGAGAGATTGTATGGGTCGGGGTCGGGTTGGTGGTGAGTGGTCTAGCGAAGAAAAAGATAAAAAAATAGAGTATCACAATAATTGTACTCCATACTTAACGGTGTTAACATAATATTTTTGTTATATAAATTATAACAACGTTACAAAATTATATATGTATTTCTAGACAAGAGAAAAGCGTATCACGTGATAAAGTGGATGATCGATTACTATATTACTGTTTCTCACATCAAGTTGAATGGTCATTTTAGTCTTTAACCTTGAAGAGCCACTTTGATTTTGAGCAGTGATACCTTTCTTGAGTGCCAAGAACGGAATCGGCTTTTCCTTTTCATCCTTGGTAAAGACTAAAGTACATTCCTTTGTTTTTTTTTTTTGCCCCTGTATTCAACATTTCTCCCGTAACTTAGGCAGAATTTTTTTTTTTAGTCTATATTTATCAAAACTTTATATTTTTTTAACCCGCTACATGAAAACAAATTTACTTGATATTTGTCGTGATGTTGGACTTTAAAATTTCGAGTCGTTTCAAATTTTCAAATAACCGTAATTAATAGTTCAAGTCGTAATAAAAACGAATTATAAATTTAGATGTCTGAGTTTGAATTATGACAATTTATTATAATCATGTCATTTCCTTCGTGAATATTCTAATATTGGCATGAANTCCTTCATGAATATTCTAATATTGGCATGAATTAGAGCTGATAATTAAATTGAACTTTGTGAACTTAGACTGAGCTTGTCGAATTTGTTTTTTTTTAAAAAGTCTAAAAAATTATTTAAACTCGACTCATTTACAAAATAAGTAAACTATCAAATTTGAGTCAGAGTTAGACTAACTTNATAATTAAATTGAACTTTGTGAACTTAGACTGAGCTTGTCGAATTTGTTTTTTTTTTAAAAATTTAAAAAATTATTTAAACTCGACTCATTTACAAAAAAAGTAAACTTAAAACGAATCAAATTTAAGTCAGAGTTAGACTAACTTAATTATTTAACATATAATCGAGCCGAACCTTTTAGCCTTGTGTTGTTTTTGAGCCAAGTCTTATACAAACCGAAACCGAGTACTTGGACTTAATTATCAGTCTTAGCATATACAATCTGCCTTTAATCGGGAAGAGATCGATCGAGGTGTCCCTAACCCCTCATAAGTAGCAGATAACACAACATTTTTCATCACTCGACTTCTTTTGCTCTTCCAAATTGTAAGTACCAAAATTTTTACCCCTCTCTCTACACGCNTTAATTATCAGTCTTAGCATATACAATCTGCCTTTAATCGGGAAGAGATCGATCGAGGCGTCCCTAACCCCTCATAAGTAGCAGATAACACAACATTTTTCATCAATCGACTTCTTTTGCTCTTCCAAATTGTAAGTACCAAAATTTTTACCCCTCTCTCTACACGCCTTCCAGAGGCGTCAGTTTCTTAACCCTCTAAATCTCTTGCTTGTCACCTCTTCGGCCATGGAAACTGCGTTAACAGCTTCAATCACTGGCAGCAAGACCATTAACGCCCTTGCAACTCCCTCCACCAAGAGATTAACTAACCCAACTACCTTACTCCCATCATGGCCTCTCAAGAGGCCGGTCATTCTCGATCTTTATCCTTGTAACGGNACGCCCTTGCAACTCCCTCCACCAAGAGATTAACTAACCCAACTACCTTACTCCCAATATGGCCTCTCAAGAGGCCGGTCATTCTCGATCTTTATCCTTGTAACAGCTTTCTCAGTCCAAAACCTCGGCTTAGATTCAAAAACATTGAGCTCTTCCTCATCCATTGCTCCACAAAACCAAATACTGATAAAGACAATGCTATGGACCAAAATTCAACAAGTGAGCGGAACCCAAAATCAAATATTCAAAAACCAGCAACACCCACTTCAAATCAAGCGCTCTCTTCCTCAAATTCATCTTTTTCTAGGGGTTTGGTGTTTGATTTAGGCCCAAAGAATTCTTGGGACAGTGTTGAAATTGGGTCACCTGTAGTGAAAAGGTTCCTCGGTGATGAGGAGGAGAGGTGGTACATGTGGTACCATGGGTGGTCGTCCAGCGGAAATTTGGGTTTGGATGCGGTCGGATTGGCGGTTTCCAGCAATGGAATTCATTGGGAGAGAGGTGGAGGACCTATCAGATCTAGTGCGGATGTGGGTCTGGTGATGAGTTGTAGTAAAGATTGGTGGGCATTTGATACCCAAAGTATTAGGCCTTGTGAAGTTGTGATTATGTCTAGTGCAAAGGTTAGAGCAAATAGTGCTGTTTACTGGCTTTACTATACTGGGTTTAGTTCTGAGAAGGTTGAGTTTTTGGATGATTCTTTGGAATTCACTTTGGAAAACCCAGAAAATGTAAATCTTAGTGATAATGGGGATGATGGAAATAGTGGCATTGGCAAGATTTATCAGTCATTGCCGGGTTTGGCGATGAGTCAAGATGGGAGGCACTGGGCTAGAATTGAAGGGGAGCATCATAGTGGAGCTTTATTTGATGTGGGGTTGAATGGCGAATGGGATTCCATGTTTATTGCCGCTCCACATGTTGTTTTCCATGGGAGTGGTGATCTTAGGATGTTTTACCATTCATTTGATGTGGAAAAGGCGCAATTTGCAATTGGGATTGCAAGGTCAAGGGATGGGATGAAGTGGGTGAAGTTGGCGAAGATAATAGGAGGAGGACCAACTGGTTGTTTTGATGAATTTGGGGTGTTAAATGCAAGTGTTGTGAGAAATAGGAAAGATGGGAAATATGTGATGGCTTATGAAGGGGTTGCTGCGGATGGGAGGAGGAGTATTGGATTGGCGGTATCTTTGGATGGGTTGAAGGATTGGAGGCGGGTTCAAGATGACTCGGTGCTAAGGCAGTCCCAAGAAGGTCGATGGGATAATAAAGGAGTGGGATCACCATGCCTTGTTCAAATGGATGGGGATGCAGATGAGTGGAGGTTGTATTATAGAGGAATTGGCAAAGGGGGGCGGACGGGTATAGGACTGGCAGTGTCTGAAGGAAGTGAGATTAGAAATTTTAGAAAATGGACAGGATTTCATTTGTGACTTGTGAGACATATACAATGTGAGTCAACATTTTCTTATTGCCCAATCAAGTTCATGAAAATAAGATTGTTTGTTCTCTTGACTAATGATTGATTGGTGATGACTGTTTTCTAACGTGCTCATATATGTCGACAACCTAAATACTTATGTTTGGTGACCAGCAGAACTGTAATTTGGTTCCACTATCTTTGGTACCCTTCTTGTAATTCTGAAAGTTAACTCCATTTTAAAAATCACTATTGCATTAGCTACCCTCTAGGCCTAGACTTACATTTTGATGGAGGGATTCAGCTTAAGCTTTCGAATTTCAGTCTGGTGGGGGATGAGACTGGACTTGGTTATGTTCTGTTCTTGTGGTGTGTCCTGAATGTGGTCTTTATTGCAAGCAGCAGGTGATTGCTTGTTATACATTAACCTGCATAGTTTAAGGATGAACAAACACACAGACAGACACAGAGAGAGATGATTAAGACACGGTTACCATGATCATATTATTTCCGTTGCTTATCGTCAGTGCAGATTGAAAAACTAAGTGTAGACTGTGTTACGTAATTTAGCTTGTTTTAGTAATTAGTCCTGACAACAATTAGATTTATTTGAGTCCTCTAATTGTCTCTAATTTGCAATTGAGAAGACCTTGATTACAGGCATGCATACTCATGCTCTATGCCATCTGATTACCTAAGCCTTTGATCTTTTAGTGCAATATTTAGTTTATTACGGTCCCGTTTGGTAACATTTATGTTTTCGTTTTTCGTTTTTATTTTGATATTTAGAGAAAATAAGAAAAAAAATTCGTGTGATAACTATTTTTTTTTGCTGTCATCGTTTTGTAAACGAGGGGCGATTTTCAAAAACGAGAAAAAGACGTTTTTCGTATTTTGATTCTGTTTTTCGTTTTTTAAAAAATCAAAAACCATAAACGTTACCAAACGAGCCTTACCTTGTCGCTTTTTGATCTTTCTAGAAAATGTCTTTATAAACAACACAAAAGTCAACAAGATGGGATTCCAGGAAACTTTCTTTGTGATCTTAAGGCTTGACAGAAAATGAATCAAATTCTTGTCGACATTACCAACTAGTGATTCTAATGCAGGAATGAACTCATTACTTTTACTTCGGTCTTTAATGCTACAATGACTTCAATTAAGTTCAATAGAAAGAATTCTATTTGGAGTTCAAGAGGTTAGGAGGTTCGGAGAAATGCCAGAAAGAACAAAAGACGATGAATTAGATAGAGAAAGGTTTGAATGACTTCTGTCCAGAACTCTAGAGAAATAGAAGTAGAAAGTGCATGAACTTGAGTTGCCTGTTGCCTATCTCACCCCCTTTTTTATTATTAGTACAATAGATTGTTCCTTACCCCCTTTTAATAAGTAGATAAGCTTCCAAAGCTCCTTCCTTCGCTTTTTGGATATTCTTCTGTCCTATGCGGCCCTCCTTTTCTGGTTCCCAATAGATTTATCTTATTCACAGATCGACACCACTACAGAGGCATTTTGGTGGGAAGATCGACTACTAAACAACATTTAATCTAATCAGGTCAAGTTAGTCTACGTTGGAGAAATATAGCATACGGAATTAGGCACGAGTATAATGTTTTTAGTTTTTCATATTTTTCTCACATGGTAATATAAACATATACATATGACAACAAATTAGGCAATACTATTTGCACTAGTGAAGCACGGGCCGCCAAGCTAAATTGGGGCCCTAGGCGAAAATGTTATACGAGACCGTATAAATATTTATTTAGTAATAATAGTAATATTAAAAACTTATTAACATATGTTTATTTACAAATTATTTGTTTTGTCTTTTGAGATATAACATACTAATTCAAATTTTACAAATAAAAATTGTGTTAATCGAAATCAAATACGGAGATCAAATACAATAATACATACTATTTGTTTAAGATTAACAGAAACATAATTGCAAATTAGGTTGACTAGTAAAATAATTTTTTTATAAATGTATATAAAATAGGAATTTATACAAGTTGAGTAGTCCTAAAATAAATGAGATATTGTTAGACATCATAGAGAAAAAGAGCAATTTTTAAATAAAAAATTTTAGTAAGACAACTATGGTTACTCGATCTAAGATAGCTAGTGTATTATTTATACTCACTCTATTTTATAGTCATCTTGTGTATCGTAACCAAAATTATTAAAAAATGACCTCAAGTTTAACTTATACAAATATAAAATTATTATTCGTACCTATTATACGATAGACAATTGATTTTAATAAGAAGACTGTAAAGTGATAATACATATAATATAAATATCGGGTGAGATAAAAAAATAAGCTGAACTTTAGGGTCCTAAATTTTTTTAAAAGAGGTTCTAAAAATTTTACAATCATGCTAGTTGCACTTAATTTGAAGATTAAGTACATTAGGTAAATAGTAATTTTTGTTTAAACTTAGCATTCACTATTAATTCAATAATTAAAATATATTAAGTATTTAAATTATATTTTAAAATAATCATTATTTATTTGTTTTTGACCCCAAAATTTTCTTCCAATTTGGGGGCCCTAGGCAATGGCCTAAGTGGCCTAAAGGTTGGGCCGGCAATGTAGTGAAGTCCTCTTAGTCATGCACACTAAATAGTTTGTATTTCTATCTTCTGTTTTGAAACTCCTATATGAAGTAATGAACACTTTGCCATGCCTTATATAAACACAACATCCTTGCACATAAGGTTAGAATGCTTCATACTCTTGTATGCTACATGTAACACTTTGTTGTCTTATTGATTCCTCATTACTGGAAATGGTGGCTCTTACCAGAATTCACTAAACTCTTGACAATTTATGATTTGGGTACATCGATCCCAAATGAAATTTGTTCACGATTCAGATCACTAAAATATTCGAGCTCAAATTATTAGACTAAACTTAAATTGATTTGTTTTAGAACATATAATACAAATATAAATACATACTAATTGATTATGTGTATATAAATTTATAATTATACATTATTTTAGATAATAAAAAATTGGGCACAAATGTAAGATAAATGGTAACTGACTTAGTATTTATAGATGTTCTATGATATATAATGTTATATAATAGTGAAAATTATAAAGATAAAAGTTTAGAAACGAATTATGATAAAAAAAAAATACCGTATTAGTTAAGCCTATCTCTATTGTATTGGGTACCCGTATTATGTATCAAAACGATGCATGACGTAGGTAACATTACTCTAAAGTAGTCTGCCCTCCCTAATTTAAATCCAAATTGTGTCACTTTTCGCCTCGGGGCAATGGTCACCCAGGAGTATCCCTCGGCCTAAAATCTTCTTATTTATTGGAACTTGGCAGGCTGATGGGCCCACCCTTTGCTGCCTTAACCGGGAAAGGCACGCTTTAAGCGGGCCAAAATCCATAGTCCAAGGATCGTTTTTGCCACGCTATTTTGCCTGCCCAGGTCAGGCCCTACAATCCAATGGGTGTATGGGCCACCTTTGCTATCTTTAACCAAGTCAATTGGTTGGGATAGTGGGCCAAAATCCATGACCCAAGGTCTTTCTGGACTGTCAATGTCAAGACCCATAGCCCAAGCATGTGCCACGGGCCTCATAAAGGAGCTTGGCCATTTAGGTTGTACACCAAGCACAAGAGAACTTCCTTTGGGCAATGTAACGCATCATGTGATTTGAGTCGTATTGGTTTCCACTGATATAGTACCTAAGTACCAATCCTTTTGTATTCCCATGTGAGATTTATTTAGGTTTTGGACCATTCAGGCCCATACAGTCTATCTGTTTATCTGCCCAAGCCTGTAGATGGCAAGAGAAGCCTGTCTAAGCCCATGTATCCGACTACGTTGCCAAAAAATAACTTATCAATATCATACCTTTTTTTTACGTGTAAAATTATTTTATTTTATTATTTTTATAATTAAATATTCCAGATGAGATTCAAATTAGTCCACCTAAATTGTACCTATCCAAAATTTCATTTTTACCCTCATATCGAAATTTTGTTTACTAAAATACGATACTTTTTAAACTTTATCTCCAACTTATTGTAGTTTTTATCTTATTTACCAAATTTCCATATTTTTCATAAAATGGTGGAATGAACCCACACTTGAACAACTAAACTTTAAAGGCGTGTTTTTAAAACACATTTTTGAATCTACACTTTTATAAGTCAAGACATTTATATGTGACACACTAATTTTTCTTTTCACTTCTTGATCTGTTAAACACATGAGTCATGGTAGCATATTAGATGACTTTTTAGAGTCGTAATCAAGATTTCTAATTCATTCCAACGCGATATGATTAATAAATAAGTCGAGACCATTCGGAAAATGTATTTGGTCATACATTTTATCTTGATTTCATGACTATAATATGTTACAAAACCCTTCACACGTGTCACTATTTTATTAGACAAAAGAATAAGGTACAAAATTGAAAAGTAATTTTTCGATACTATAAGCGGATTCAATTATGAAAGATAGAGCATAATAAACTAATGGAGAGCTGTCAAACTGCTTAAATTTGAGGTCCACTTTCCCTTTACTTCTCATAAATTAGCCATAATGGAAGATTTTATTATGTGCAACAAGAAGAGGATGAAGTTTAGTACACTACAATTGCTCCTAAGACCTCCATGTCATTGTGCATTTAATTAATTCACAATCAGTCTAATTGTCATAAATTTAATGATTCTGATACATATTAAATTAATAAATTAAGTTTAAATAATTTTTTTTTTTTCAGAAACGATGTTCTTACTAGCACTTTATGAGGGTTTATCTTAAAAAAGTAAAATTATATAACAAATAGTACTTTACAAAGACACTTAAAAATGTTAGTAAACCGTACTTTAACTACTTGAACGTGGCAAAAATATGACATATTTATATTCACACTCTCTTTTGGAGAAAAATATTGAGTGTATTTTTATTTTGGCATGCTTGAAGATGTCTGTGGGAGTCTTACCCTCTCTCTTCACATGGTCAAGAAATGGATTCATGAATCATGTGAAGAGAGAGGTCCGATAGAGAAGTGGTGGATATTGAGACTTGGGATAAAATTCTCATCAAGTTAGATCTGACTCTCTTTAATGTAGTGTCACCAACTAATGATAGCATATCAAGTGAAGTTAGTAGGCTCCCTTGTTTTAATAACTATAAATAATCTGCTTATTTAATAACTGTCATGTTGGAATTGTAGGGTTTATTAATCATATTTGTTATTTTATAATTGATTGGTAATATCACGTAATGTCACAGTTATATTTAATATTTACTCCTCTTTTTTTTGACATACATTGCACTCTAGATTGGATTATCAAGAATTTTGTATTATTTTTCCTTTTATGAGATGATATTACTTTAACATGCTCAGCATGTTTAATGAGAAAACATTACACTCTTTTGTGGGAGATCGAAGGATTTAGGTTACAATGGATGACAATTGATAGAAGAAATGACGGTGAAATGCACAGGCTCTTACAACTGTGGGATTTAAAAAAGTTTAGACATATGTAATATTATCTTTACATATAGGGATATTATTTTGACAATAACTTTCAAAATTTTGGAGAAAAAAATCTAGTGACGTGTTTATAGTCATCTATCTAATATTGTAGTTTGTCTATCTAATATTATAGAAAAAAATTAAAATTTTAATTTATAAAAGTAAAATAACGATCAATATTTATTTAATTTTTATCTATTTTAATCTAATAGTATAAAATTCACCCCAAATCTTTTTGTTTCTTGTTTAAAAAGATCATCGTTTCTGGATGGCTCCCATTATTAGACAATTTAATCAATATAATTGTTAATATCAAATAACCTTTTTAATTCGCACATACTTTTTTCTCATTTTCTTTACATTCACTTTAATTTTAAATTATATAATTAAAAAATAAATAAAATTTTATTTAAAATATAAATATTATATAATTAATGTTGAATTTTTAATATTATAAAATCTCTTTAGACACAAAAATTATTTCTAGTTGTTGGATAGGAGGGAAAACCGGCCCCTGCATCCATCATTGCTGACTTGTCTATTATTTACTGAACTAGTCAGTCTTCAATTGCTGTAGCATGGTGGGTGGGTCTCTATCTCTACAGTACTGTACTGAAATGGGTACCAATATTAAATTGCATGTACAATGATTTCTGTTGTCTCATAAATGGAGTTGGCCACGGTACCCTCTCTCGTGCAGACTTAGGATACTCGTGTTTTTATCTAGGATAGTTGGCTACGATTTTTTTGGTGCCATATATTCTTTTTTTGAATTTTTCTGATCAATTCCAATGAGTTAATTTAACTTAAAAAAATTATAAAATGACCCGAAGTTATTATTATAATTAGATAGGATAATTATCATTGATACACCACTCGAGATAGACATATTTTCAATGAGACTCTCTCTATTATCATAAACATCGTTGACACCTCTTGTTAGATTAATGTTGTTAAATAGAATACAATTTTATTAAATTATCTATGACATATTTTAGAAAAAATTTCATCCATACCTCTATAGATTGACATATTTTCAATGAGACATCTTCTTTTTTCTGAAATTTTTACGTATTAAAATTTGGATTAATTAAAATTTGATTCAAATTAATTAACGTTTATTTTTTACGTATTAAAATTCGAATTGATTACAAATTATATTTTCTTACGTATTGATACAAAAAAAATATAAATTTTAATGCGTAAAAAATAAATTTTAATTGGCTTAAAATTTTAATATGTAAAAAAATAAAAATTTTAATCGACTCAAATCGAATTTTACTCGGCACTAGCACTCAGGTTGATTGTGGCTTGAATTTTAATACATAAAAAAATAAATTTTAATAGACTTGGATTTTAATATGTAAAAAAAATAAAATTTAATCAACTTGAATTGAATTTTAATTGACTCAAATTTTAATATGTAGAGAAATAAATTTTAATCGACTTAACAAATAAAAAAATAAATTTTAATTGCCTCAAATTTTATGTAGAAAAATTATTTGGGATTTATGTAGGAGCGATTTTAATATTTTAGATGATTGTGTTTGGTTAAAAATTGTGGTTTTAGGGCAAGAGGTGTGAGTGATGTTTAAACATAAACAAGAAGATAATGTTTGAAGATAACTAGAAGGATAAAATATAAAGGGTGTCAATAGTGTTTTGAATAGTAGAGATGATTTCATTGCCGGTATGCTTATTTGGAGGGAGTGTGAATAATAATTATCCTATTATATTTTAATCTCGATCTTACTGTTTTTTTTTGTACCAAAAAAAGGAAAAAAATTAGTACCGTACTAATATTTATAATTTTTGTGGATATTTTTATCACTATTTTAAGTGTTTTTACAACTATTATATTACCAAAAAAAGAGGTAAAAATAATTTTTACAACCGCTATAAAAACATCAACGACAATGATAAAAATATTCACGTAAGTGTTAAATGACCCACAAAAATAGTAATTTCTTACATCAAAGAAAAATAGATAAAATATAACACAATAGAAATAAAAATACCTATAAAAGTAATAAATAACATATAAAAATGATAAATATTTTTTTGGTTAAAAAAGTATCTATAAACATTATAAAAATAATAAATTTTAAATACATGGTATTAAATTTTTTTATTCAATGTCGCAGTCAAATCTATCACGAGAAAATTTAAAGTGACTCAACATCATGTTCGTGGCCATAATAAGGCACGTACTGTACTGTTTCAGACTTTAAGCTGCCGTACTCATTGTCTTTTGCATTGAAGCTGTTTCTCCAGGCTTTACAAGACTTTTTTTATTTTGTCACGTGTTCGTAATTTGAATCGTTCGAATTTTTTTATCGGGTTTTAGAGTTCACACGAAACTTCAATGATCGATCATTATATCAACTTAGTTAAGTTTGTTCTTAAAAAAAAATTACGGGTATGACTAAAAACCTAATGATCCCACAATAAAGATTTATCGGAGTAATCTTTGAGTGTTTTTTTTATCCCCACTTCTTTTTTAATTATCAAAAAAAAAAAAATTTCGTAAATTGGACTATTTTTTTGATGAAAAATCTTAGAAAAAAGAACTGCAGAATTTTTGTGCTGGAAATGGTTTATTTCATGTATTTATCAATCAACAGTCTATTTTTGTAAGGAAGTGAGCTTTTTGCCCGTTTCTTTCTTATTGACCCGGGTTACTAATTCAGGTTAATTTAACCATACTAAACTTTTTAATTTTGTATCCCGAACGGTTACATTCGTAAATCTAACATATGTGGGTCGTGTTTGGGTCTAGTTTCTATATGTTCTACATACATTTGTTTTAGGATATGCTTATAGAGAAACTCTAAATGCACATAATCACTTTAATATTATGCGTTCAAGTTAACTACCCTCTCACATGCGGTGTTAAAAGGATTGATCGACTACAATACAACTGGATCAAATTGTACCTAATTTGGCACTTTTGATTCTACCATCATTTTACATTTCATGTAAATCATCAGTCTCATTTGACTCGTTGTTGAATTGGAGAGAATCGTTCAAAGTATCAAAATTGACTCACAGCATGTCACTCGAAACTATTCTGCGATTCTATCATATGCTCTGAATCTTTCTATCATATTTATTTACTAGTTATTGTCTGTACCTGAAAATACAGAGTAATAAAAAATAGTATAGAATAAATATATTTCTATTCATATCCAAAATCAAATTACAAATATTGAGAATAGATAGTGGCGGTGGTGGGGACAACGGCGACGGAGCCGATGGTGACGGTGGCGGTGGTAGTGGCGGTAATGGTGGGATGATTTCACACACTATTTTTTTGAAAGTATTTATGAAAAATAATTTTAAAAATTACTTTTAAAAAATCACTCCAAACACACCCTTAAAAGCCTATTTTTCCTATTAAATTTAGGGTGTTAATATTAGCCGTTAAATTAACTTTAAAGTAAAATTTAAAACTATCTCAACCGCTAATAACAAGAGTCATTTTTTTTTTTTTAAGATTTAAATTATAAGTCATTTTATTATATAAATTATTTGTAGGGCCATATTTCATTACGTAATATCAAGGCCAATACCATGGCCTTAACCTATCCTTATAAAAAGAGTTAAATTTGGCTTAGCTCCTGAAGTCTTTTCATCCCAACCACCCAAATGAGTTAGGCAACATGTACTATTCTTCACTTCCCTCGCTCTCTCCCACCCTACAATTTGATTGAGTGCACCCTGCAAGGTCTGTAAGGAATCAATTAAATGTGTCTACAACATGGTGCTCTCATCAACATAATTTTGATGTGGATATCTAACCAATTTTCATGTACTTGGAAAAAAGTTAGGAGTTAATGTCCTTGGGAGTAGGCATCATCCGTCTCCTTGAGAAACTTTTAAAGTGATATACAGGTGTATCTATACTTCTGACCTTTTTCTTTTTTTTGGCTTGTTTCACTCTCGTATCGATTTAATCATTAAGTAAGTTATACGGTGTTTTAGGCTCTTGTCTGAAATAAGCATCGACACCCTCATATGATAATCATCGTGGCACTCTTATGATATAGATAAATTAGCATACATTATTGTTATCAGTGCTAATGCTAAAACTCGAACAATTTGCTCAAATCATCTGAATCAACGAGTTGACGAGTGGCATATAAAATGCATCAATTTTAACACAGAAACATTTTAAATACGATCGAATAGTATCATTATTAGAGCCAATACTTTAAGCCATTACGTCACTGGAGATCTTTGATCCCATGTGCCATATAAATTCTCATGTACATGGTGAAGATGGTGTGGTTCATGACATAGAACTGGTCTCTTGAATATGGATGGGCCTGTGGTAATTTTCTTTGAGAAAAGTATATAAGTGACCTTTAAACTATGATATTTGTATTAATTTAGTCTCTAAACTAATTTTTTTGTCAATTGAG